CGAAAGGGAGAAGTTGATCTACACATTGAAGATGAGCAAAGGTTGCTGCATTGCCTGTATGAAATACTTTTCGCCATTGCCTTCTGATTTAGTATTGGAATTAGAGAAATGTTGCTTTGTACTCACCATATCTGGAACATTAAAATTAATTTCATGTTCAAACATGAGCTATTTTAATGTTAATGATAATTTTTGTTCTTATTTATCTTGATAAAGATCCTAATGGTTATGGTGAATTACAAAACAATGTTTATATTCTTAACACTAAGCATTCTATAATGAGTATAGAAATTATAAGGTATAAATGCGATAATCTAATTATTACCTAAATCTGGCATGACAGACTTTGTCATATAAATGAAATGTAATTCCAAAATTATATAAAGAAGTATACTTGGAGTCAATTGATTTTGACAAGCACGAATTATGCATGTCTGATACAATGACCAAATCTCATTTTACTTGAGAAGGAGAAAGATCTACATAATTACAGGTCTAATGCAGACTGATGCATATGGACCCATGTCAATTGACGTCGGGTGATGTTTCTCTTATTTCATCAAATTACTAATGACTATTACAAAAATAGTCATATATGTTTGATGAAATTCAAGTGTGAAACTCTTGAAAGGTTCAAGAGATTTAAGCTAAAAGTAGAGAAGCAATTAGGTAAAGAGATTCTTACACTAAGATTCGATCAAGTGGGAATATTTTAAAGATAAAATTTTAGATTATCTTAAAAAGAATGAGATTCTCTTGTAGTGGACTCCTCCATATACAATGCAGCATAATGACGTATCTGAAAGGAAGAATAGTCAACTATTAGATATTGTGCAATTAATAACAAGCCATGCAAATCTCCCAAAATCGTTTTGGGGTCATGCACTAATTGCAGTGTGCTACACACTAAATCATGTCCCCATCTAAGTTGGTTAACAGAACTCCATACGAGCTATGAAAAGGTAACAATCCTAATTTATCTCATATGAAAGTTTGGGATTGTAACGCTTATTTGAAACGCATTGAATCAGATAAGTTTGAAACTAAATCTGATAAATACATATTTATTGGATATCCAAAATAGATATTTGGATATCAATTCTATTAACTCATTAAGAAGAAAGTCTTCGTCTCACGACATATCATCCTCTTAGAGAAAATGTTTACTCTAGGAGAGGACAGTAGGAGCAAAATAGAACTTGAAAAAGTTCAAGAGTCCACATATATAGTTAACCAAGTAGATGAATCTGAGTTTGATCCCATATCGGATGTAGGGCATACTCTTGATCAGGAAGTAGAGACTCCTGAGGACATGTCAACTTTGTGTGAATCTAGTAAGATCATTTGACGTTCAAGAAGGTGAGAATCCATGATTACTAATCAGACATTGCTAATCTAGGATATTAAACCTACTAATTGCCCGAAATTAAAGTCAAGTGTTGATTTAAAAGAGATAGGAATAGGCCATGAAATCTGAGATGAACTCGACGTACGTGAACAAAGTTTAGACCTTGATCGACCTTCCTCGTGGGATAAGACCCATATGTCATAAATGGTTTATGAGGAAAGGTCGATATGGATTGGAATATCTATACATACAAAGTATGGCTAGTAGCAAAGGGTAAAGTGTTGACCTTGATGAAACCTTTTGCTTGTAGCCAAACTAAAGTCCATTTGGATTTTGGTTGCAATAGTTACATATTGTGACTATGAGTTAAACCAAGTCTCTTGGAGCTAAAATCTTTAATTTGATGTAGAATCAAAAGGTTTGATTTTATCAAATATGAAGACAAATTGTGTGTTTACAAGAAGATAGTGGGAGCATTGTCGCATTCCTAATATTATATGTAAGACATATTGTTGATAGGAAACGAAATCCTTAAGTTTCAATCGTTGAAATAATGGTTGTTGAATGATTTATTCATGAACGATATGGGGGAAAACAACTTGGTCTATAGAGATAGATCTAGAAGATGGCTTAACTATCACAATCTACATAGATAAAGTTTTGAGAAGGTTTTATATGAAGAAAATGGTTTACTCTTAAATGATGTGTTGGAAAGATCCCAAATATGAAACAATCGTTGATTCAATAGCAGAAATCTAATAAATGATTGCTTTAGAAGTAACAAAGAGTTGCAATGTGGATCAAGATATTCATAAATGAACTTAGAGTAGTTCTTAATATTGTCGATCACATGCCATTATTTGTGATAACAATAGAGCCATCGTGCATATGAATAAACTAAGGTCTCATCAATGATCCAAACTTGTATTGAGATGGTATGATCTCATCAGAGAGATAATACATAGAAATGACGTAAAGAGAAGAACGAATTCCCACAATTAATTGCAGATCCATTGACAAAGAGTTGTCACAGTATAAACATGATCATCATGTAGACTCTTATGATATTGGATACATAAGTGATTGGATCTAGTGCGAGTGAAAGTTTATAAGTGTTATGTTCTAGGTCCAATGGACTTTGGACATAAACACTTTTAATATATAATTAATGCAATTTTATGGTAGATTTATTATTTAATTAATATTCAAATAAATTAAATAATAGAGTCCGTAGATTCAAATCTTAATAATTTGTTAATCTCAAGGAGTTGTGATTGTGAGTTACAAATTACATACGATTGAATCTTAAATCGTCCGTGGTCGTAAGTATTAACGAGATACGTATATCGTTATTACGAATAGACCTTCATGTGTTGCATTTCTTATTTATGAAGTAAGTAGCTAATCTCACAAATTAAAGTGTAGTGACACTTAATGAACACATGGATGTTTTGTTGTAGAACAAAACATTGATGGGAGACCCGCTGACAGATTCCACATGGATAACTATCTGAGTTTCAGCGGCTAATCTTTAACTTTCAGTAGTGAAATTGGTCATTTAACTTGAGGTCGTAATAGTACCTTATATGAGGACAATTATGCTTCGACGATATTGGATGTTGCTCTGACAAGTGTCGCTAATACGATATCGTTTGGGTATGTCATGAATTGTATGAAGGTTGTGAATGACCAATAGAAAATTTGTCACTCTTAGATAGTAAGTGATTATGATATGTATTTCATTCAATTAAGTCGATAACGAAATCCTTGGCCAAGGTGTGTCCATAAGTCGAAAATGAGTTTTCGACTTATATTGACTTAATAGTGGAGTGAAAGATATGATCGATAATTGAGACTGACACACTTCTATATCTCGTAATTGATCGAATCATATTGACGAAGGGATTATGTTTCATGATAAACGAACGAGTTTGATTTTCTCATACTATGTGACATTTTTCGTCACATATATTGCCTTGACACATTACTAAATGTCAATCTGGGACGACGAGTGTGAATTTGTGATAAATTAAAAAGGTGTTTTAATTTGCCAATTTTGATTAGATTAAAATAATATTTCACGTCGTTGGGCATCGTCATCGGGAACTTGATGCGTTGCACACAAAATGAGAACTTGAGGTCGTAATAGTACCTTATATGAGGACAATTATGCTTTGACGATATTGGATGTTGCTCTGACAAGTGCCGCTAATACGATATCGTTTGGGTATGTCATGAATTGTAGAAGGTTGTGAATGACCAATAGAAAATTTGTCACTCTTAGATAGTAAGTGATTATGATATGCATTTCATTCAATTAAGTCGATAACGAAATCCTTGGCCAAGGTGTGTTCATAAGTCGAAAATGAGTTGTCGACTTATATTGACTTAATAGTGGAGTGAAAGATATGATCGATAATTGAGACTGACACATTTCCATATCGCGTAATTGATCGAATCATATTGACGAAGGGATTATGTTTCATGATAAACGAACGAGTTTGATTTTCTCATACTATGTGACATTTTTCGTCACATATATTGCCCTGACACATTACTAAATGTCAATCTGGGACGACGAGTGTGAATTTGTGATAAATTAAAAAGGTGTTTTAATTTGTCAATTTTGATTAGATCAAAATAATATTTCACGTCGTTGGGCATCGTCATCGGGAACTTGATGCGTTGCACACAAAATGAGAACTGAAAAATTACGATTTGTCAATTAATTAATTTAACAAGCATCGGATATTAATTAATTGGGTTGCTTATTTATAGGCCCGAATTAAATTACTTGGATTAATTAATTCACGTACCGAATTTAATAGATTAATTAAATATTGGGCTCGTCAGGCCAAGCTCGTTTGGGCTTATATAAATAAGTGATTAGGATTTTCAATTAGTAGTGAATTCATTATTCCTGTTAGCACAAGAAGTAAACCCTAATCATAAAATCTTATTCTATGTGTGGATCAACGTTGGGGGCTGGACAATTGGACAGCTGTGAAAGGAAAATCAAGATTGCTGGACAAAAAGAAAAAACAAAATGTTTGCAGATCTCGAAAAAAGGTAAAATTTTTATCACAATTCCTATCTAAACATAAAGATGAATCCTGGTGGGCATCGAAAATTGTTTTATTTTTTGCTGTGCATGATAAGTGAATTCCCAACAGCTGCTCCAACTTGTGCTTCTTCAACCTCTGGGAAAATGAAATGGGAGGCTCATAGGGTTTAACTAGAACAGCTACCTTACCACATAATGTCTCTGAACTTTCATTGGTAACTGTTTCCTTAGTCTGGTCAGTTTGCTCCTCATGTTTTTCATCATAAGGAGGCACTGTTTCTTTGTTTGCATTTGATCTCTTCACATTCATTTCAGGTAATTGAACCCCACTTCTTGTAGTGATTGCTTGAACATGCTCTTTAGGATTCAGCTCAGTATTGCTTGGTAAAGTATCTGGTGCCCTTTTTGTCATAGCGAGTGACATATGTCCTATCTGTGTCTCCAGGTTTTTAATTGCGGTACCCTGAGTTTGGAGAGTTGTTTCAATCTTCTTCATGAATTGGTTATTTGTCTCCATATATTTCTCAGTCTTTTTCATAAACTTTACAAACATCTATTCCAATTGAAGGATCTATAGATAAATTCTTTATGCGTGATGGGTATTTATTTCGGGAAAACAAGTTGTGTGTTCCTATATGTTCAATGAGAGAATTGTTAGTAAGAGATGTACACAGTGGAGGCTTAATGGGATATTTTGGGGTTAAGAAGACCTTGGAGATATTAGGTGGACATTTTTATTGGAGAAAATTGATGTTCATTGGATTTGTAGGAAATGCATTACTTGTAAGACGGCTAAGTCTAAGGTTCTACCTCAAGGGTTGTATATACCTTTACCTGTTCCTAGTAAATCTTGAGTTGATATATCTATGGACTTCGTATTAGGTTTACCTAGGACTAAGAAAGGAAAAGATTCCATATTTGTGGTGGTAGATAGATTTAGTGAGATAGCACATTTTATGTCGTGTTATAAAACTGACGATGCTACCAATATTGCGGATCTCTTCTTTAAGGAAATAGTGTGCTTACATGGGATTTCAAAAAACATTGTATCGGATAGGAGTGTTAAATTTCTTAGTCACTTTTGGATGATTTTGTGGAACAAGTTAGGTACAAGTTACTGTTTTCTACTACTTGTCACCCACAAACCGATAGACAAACTGAGGTTGTGAAAGGAACATGATACAATTGTTACGTACAATAGTTATTAAGAATTTGAAGAGTTAGAAAGAGTACTTGCCATTCATTGAATTTGCATACAATAGGGTCATGCATTCTACTACTTCTTGTTGGCCTTATGAATTTGTATATGGTTTTAATCCACTAAAACCTTTGGATTTAATTTCCTTACCTGCTGATTAAAGAGATAGATTAGATGGAAAGAAGAAGCAGAATTTGTAAAATCAATCCTTAAAAAGATAAGATTGCAAATTGAGAAGAAGAATAAGCACTATGTTTTTCAACCAAACAAAGGAAGGAAAAGCCTTAAATTTAAACCTGAAGCTTGGGTTTGGGTATATTTGAGAAAGGAACATTTTTTAGAATAAAGAATATCAAAGTTGCAATCATGGGGAGTCGGTCCATTTCAAGTTTTTGAAAGGATTAATGATAATGCCTATAAACTAGATCTTCCTCATGAGTATAATGTTTATGATCTTTCTCTCTTTGATGTAGGTGCAAATTCGAGGTCGAATCTTTTTGCAGAGGGAGGGAATGATGTGATCCAAGGAATGAAGACAAGTCCGGACAAGAATCCGTTGGTCGTTGAGGAAGACCCTATAACTAGGTCGTGAGTGAAAAGGGTCAAAAAAAGTAAAGGAACAAATTTCGTATTGGGCTCAGGAGAAGAAAAACAATGGGTAAACGTGATTCAAGCAATGGATGGAAAGGCTGGTCGAGTCAACTATACGACTATATAGTTAAACAAGCTATACAACCGCATAGTATATGACAGAGAGTTGCCCTGGTTTGCAATGACCTATATGATCGTATAGGCTAGAACTATGCGGCTGCATAGTACATTTCGAAACTTGATTTTTTCAATTCCGTAAGATCTTTTATTTATGTTAAAACTCTATTTTTTTGGTATCTTTAGTAATCTTTTCGATTCTATTCATGTCAACTAGGGTTTTATGAGTCTCTTATAAATAGGACTCATTATTTACATTGTAAAATAACTTTCATTCCTACATCATATCGAAGATTATTTTGTGAGGAATTTTGCTTTTAATTCCTTGATCTTCATTGCACTAACTTTATGGACTTATTAGGAATTATTTCTTATGGCGTTCAAATAATTAGGGAGAGATTCTTGAATTTTGTGATCACGGGGTCAACATATTGTCGACGATTGTGTTGGTTCTTTGGTGCAATATTTTTGGATCAAATTCTAAACTTTGATTTCTTGGCTTTCTTGGTTGAATAAATCTTGTGTGGGTTTCGTAGCTACCATTGTTGCGTGGGTTCACATCACCATGAATAAAATGTGATAGTCTTAACGGAATCAGTTTCAAGTTAGGCAATAAGAGGGCGTCATCAATGGTTTTCCCTAAATGACCGAATTATCTCAAATTTGGAGGGAAATCTATGAATACCCCCACTCTAAAGAAAAAGGAATGCGATTCAAGTTTCTCCCTCCCAAATAGTTATTTTCCTCTAACGCCAAGTTTGAGCATCAAAACTAGTGAGTATATGAGGTGAAATCTTGACTAGATGAGAGGATTTGTTGATCAGAATTCTGTCATCATTATATTCACATCATCTGTGGGAAACTTTGAACAAATAAATCATGAAATTTTGTTGTAGCAACAGAAACCTTGAAATTCGTAAGATCTGAGAAAAATGAGTCAAACAGAAGGAAAATTACTTCTAGAGGTTGAAAACGAAGAATACAGCAGTGATGATCTTGTAGATGGTGATGCTAATCCAAAATGATAGAGGGAATAAACACTGACAAAGTTGCAAGCCGACATTTTTCCTGCTCAACATCGTCGCTTAAGGAAAAAGATATCCATTGCAAAAGGATCTAAGAGATGGCTGAAAGACTGAAGGTATTCATGGGGGAAAATGTATGGTTGAGTACGAAAATTGAGAATCCAAAAGAAAATTGGAAGGATAAATATGGAGAAAATGAAGATATGTTTGTTGTTGCCTAGTATGATGGATTGATATTACGAGCGTAATAGTTCCGAATAGCCTTAGTCGCATGATGTGGACAATGGTAGCTTTGTGAATATTTTGTTTGGAAATGCCTTAGATCAAATGTAGGTCAATCCTCACTAGGTACCCATGATTGAACCCTTATATGGTTTCACTAGAGATAGTTTGATCCTGATAGGATGAATTATGCTAACAATTGACCTCGGTGAAGAGCCAATTGCATTTCAAGGATATACAGACTTTCTAATCATGGATAGAAAGTCTGATTATAATGGTCTTATGAAGACCTTATCTAAAGTAGTGGACAGCAGTAAGATCTATCCATCATTTGGGCAAGAAATTCGAAACTGCCTAAAGGGTAGTCAATATCAAAAGAAATCAAGCTATTGTATGTGAATGCTACTTTAGCTCTTGAAGGAAAACAATCCTAAAGCCCATAGTGGGCAATACCATACTTATTGTGGAAAAGAAGATAAACCTACCTGAAAACTTTTCATAAGAAAGCATCTAACACTGTGAATGAAAGGTTTAGAAGCATGCCCAATAATAAGGACGACTTTGCAAATATTAAAAAAAGCATGGGTTTTGAAACAATTACCAAGATTGAAACTGAAAAAAGGTCACAACACGGAAAACATGAAGGTGAGCCTTATTCCGCCAACTTTCAAAAAATAAAGCTAAGGAATTTCAATTGAAGGCGAAGTTAAATCGCTAGAGAAAAATGTTAACTGATTTCCACCACAAAGGGAATTATTACCATAAGGATGAGACCATGCCTGCTATGTTTAAATGTCATGACATATTGTAACAATGAGTGAAGTACTTATGTAAGGAGAACCATGGTAGGGGACATGGTATTAATATGTGACCCCTTTTTATGTTGTTACGATGATTTAATAAAGTTTTATTTGGTAAGTTGTGTTGTTAAATATACAATAAATTATGTTATTGAGATACACTTGTCATATATGTATCTACATGAAGCATAATTAAATGTCAAATGACCAAGGTAGCACAAACCTTAATAGATAACAAATGAACGAAATCGTAGTAAGTAAATAATGAAATATTATTATTAAATTGTCAAATTAGTAGTTTTATACAAAAGATAAATGAAATTTCATTAATGAGATAAAAATAAACTATATATCTAAGTTAATCAACAACTGAAGATTGGAGATTTTCGGAAGTAAGATCGTGTTGGTTAACTGGGGCATTATCCCTAAAGGGTCCGCTTGCTTCAGAGAAAAGAGGAGCATCAGTAGGATCGATAGCTAGCTTAGCACTAGCAACGGCCTCACTGGAAAGAATAATTAGAGGATCTATAAGTTGGGAAGGTTCAACAGAAGTAGACAAATTATTTGAAGCCTTAACAGCTAAAGGAGTATCCTCGAAAGATAATGTGTCCTTGACATCCCCTTTATGAGCTTTCAAGAAATCCGTATTCGTGTCAGGATGGAAATTCCTAATAATGTCAAGAACCTTATTGCCCCACTCTTGCATGGTCTCCTCATTAAGCTTCACCCATTAGCCTTACTTTATAAAGGTTCGACTCCACGAGCTACTTTTGTCTCGATACTTTCCAGCTGATTATGAAGTAAGGCCTTTTTATTCTTCACCTTGTCAAGATCCTGGGAGAGAAAAATATTTATTGGCTTCAGCCAATTGAAGTTCTTCTTAAAAGCTCAAGAATAACTAACCAAGAGGGGGTGAATTGTTTCTTAAATCCTTTTTGAAAATAAATTCAAGTCTAAAAATAATTTACTAGCAAATGTAGCAATAAAATAGATACACACAAATATGAGATCGAATAAGGAGAATTAATGAGCACAATATAAAAGCAATAAATAGAAAGGAGATAGAATGCAAACTATTTAATTATAGAGGTTAGATCCAACGCAATGATCTACATCCTCCATTATCAAACTCTCCGCCACGAATAAGGCATTTTCACTAAATGTGATTGACTTATGACACAATCTAACCTTCTACAATGCTTCCGATGACTTACAAATAAGGAGTATCGATCTTTTCACAACGTTAAACTTTACAGGATCTAAACATGACTCACAGTTAAAACAAAAGTAAATATTACAAATGAAAAATTTTCTCTTAATAAATGATATAAAAGAAATTAAGTACCAAGAAAGAAGTAGGCTAACACTTTAATAGATAGTAATAAATATAGCTCGAGTGTTAGAATAGAAAAATCTTTATGAGAAAAGTGATTTTCAATAATTTGATTTACTCAAAAAGTTTTTCAAGAAATAAATGAAATGATCTTTTGGAAAATGAAAAGTAAAATAGTTTGGATCAATAATATCTTCACTTCAACGTTCTTAGAAAGTTGTCTTCAATGAAAAAGTAGAGTGATATTTACAGTAGTCAAAATGCCAAAAATGTTAGTGATCCAGATGAGTTATCTAGACGTCCGAATCTGAACCAGATAGTGCAGAAATAGCCGTTACGCATCAAATATAGAACACTAAATTTTTTTGTCATTGGATCATCCGGACGTCCGGATGGACATAATGTCCTTGGACACTTTCATTCATGATAATTTTGATCAATGTAGGCTTTTGAAGAATCCTTTTACTTTACTTTTCAAGATAAGTGATTTTTTAATAATTTGATCATCGAGTTAAAAACCTTATCATTTGAAAATAACTTTTATGCAATCGTTTGAGTGACGTAAGTCTTTCTTATGCATAAAGACATTTTCGATTCAATGCTAAGAATTAAAATGTTTTACCTTTACGCATAAATGCAAAGCATCTACATCTAATGTCTCGGTATTTGACTTTTGACTTTTTCTTCAAATTACTTTGACTTAGGTACTAGATTTTTGTCTTTACGTCCATCAATTGCTAATTTTTGTTCCAATCGTCAATTGCACATCTTTTGATCATGATCTTCGTGTCTTCATTTGTATTGATTTTGCAATAATATCTATAAACACTCGAATTCAATTTATTATAAATAAATATAATTTGTTTGTGATAATCAAAATGAGAAGTCAACCATAGGTCAACAATTTTTCCCTTGTTGATTATGACAACTAAGATGACAATATATTCCCCTTTTATTTTCACTTATATTCCCCCTTCCAATGTTCCCTCTATCATGCATAATCATCTATCTATCTTCCCCTTTTTATCATAAGCAAAAATATATATGGGAATATAGATAAAAAAAAAAAAAAAAAAAAAAAAAAATATAACCAAAAAAAAAAAAATAAAAAAAAAAAATAAAGGGAAAAAAAAAAAAAAAAAAAAAAAAAAAAAAAAAAAAAAACATGTCAACCATAGTAATGAAATTAAGAAATGGATCAAATAATAGCATAATATTAATGACATGAAAGACATTGAAAGTATGACTAAAAACTAAGACATGTTTCCTAGCAAAAAACAACTAAGGCGTTGAAGGTGGCGATAGTGGAAAGCGAGCATAGAATTTGACGCAGAAGGTAGTCTGCTATGTCTACATCTCCATATGTCGAGCATGGATGTTATTTTGCTGCGCTTGAAATCAATGAAGTAGATTGTTGAGGCCATTCACTGAAGAAGTGAGAGAATCAATGTGCCCATTTAGTATATTATACTGATCTTCGGTAAATCTAAAGCTATCATGATAA